GGCACCCCCCCAAAAAAGGAAAACCACACCTGTATAGTGGGCGTCCCAAAAGGTCTTAAGTCCATGATTCCAACCCCTTCCTCTCAAATCCTTAAAAACCCGGCCGTTCCTGGAGTTCCGGAGGCTTCTAGAAGAGAAGGACTGGAAAGAATGGCTGGAAAACAGCCACAAGAGACGTTCAAGCCAATGGTCATGATAATCAAGCTTCGAAAGGATGGGGCCTTGAGCAGCCCCCTCCCTCTTCCCACGAGAAACGCAGATGCGCAACTCGCGCAACCTGCGCAAATATCGCTCGCGCCTGCTGCAGCCATACCCTGCTTTGCCCTTGGCTCAGCACCTCTGTCGGCCACGGCAGCTTGAGGGCGCCTGTCGCATCGCAGGCCAGGGCCAGGGTGCCGTCCAGTGTTTCCGCTGAAGTGGCTCAACGAAATGGTGTCCCCCTAAATCGATTGACCCCCACGAATCTTGCCCCATCCCGATTCCAAGACCCAAATCCGAGGTGCAAACTTGATCAGGCGAAGACATCCTATGAACTCAGGCATGGCACTGTTGGCTCATTTAGCCGTCTCATCGGAAAACAACAACCAAACAAGCCTGATCCAAAAGCGCATATATGCGCACTACGTGTGGCAGGCGCTGGCAACAAGCACGTGACGTGCTGCGCGCTGCGCCCCTGAAGCATCCGTGATAGAGGGACTGAGGATTGCTGAGGTCAGCCTGCAAGTCAACTCATAAGCTTCCAAGAAGCCAACAAGGTTTAGACGCCTCATTGAGCCAGAACTGTCGTGAGGACATGGACAAGGCCAAGCGTGTGGCATGCCCCAATGCCCCGAATGGGCGCCTGAATCATCTCCGTCAGAATCGCTGCATGGCAGCTGATCCCACTTGGCGTAGTCGCTCGCCGCACTTGGCGCCTTCATAGGTCCATGCGATCGACATACATATCCCCCCCCCAGCACCCTTAGCAAGGAAGGGGGCCGGGTAAGCCCAATGAAAGCCCTTTCTCGAGCCTGGTAGCAAGCAATCAGGAGCCCCGGATTAACAAGCCTGTCCATATTGAGAGGCTGGGATTCTTTTCCCCCAGCCGTGCTCTGATTCGCAAATCGGGGGCACCCCAACAAACAACCATAATTTCTGAATAGATCCGGGGTGAAATGAAGGAAGGGCGGGGGCGGGCGGTGCGCGGGAGGAAATGGGTGGCCCGTCTTTTTTGGAGTTGGTTCCCCTTTTAAAGGGAAACCGAAGGACGCAACCGAAGCCATTTTGGGTCCCCGAAAAAATACAGACCCCTTCTAGCAAAACCAAGAGGTCACAAGGCCGATTCGCTTCAGAGTGGCAATAGTGAGGCAGCAAACTTCGGACATCTGCTTCTTGAGGTCCAAACAAACCATCGGAAGCATGGATTCCATGAAACCACGAAACCATTCACCCATCAAACCATCCATCCGTCCATCCATCCGTCCGTCCATCCATCCATCCATCCATCCATCCAACCAACCAACCAACCAACCAACCAACCAACCAACCATTCTCGAAAACAGTTTTGATGTGGCTTTTGTGGATCCACCCCTGCAGCATGTACCAACAAACTACTAAAGAAGGACCAACAGGAAGAAGTAGAAATCCAAACCGTTTTCTAGATCCATCCATCCAACCAAACCCCCCAACCAACTGCTAGCCAGCCAGCCAGCCAGCCAGCCAACCAACCAACCAACCAGCCAGCCAGCCAACCAACCAACCAACCAGCCAGCCAGCCAGCCAGCCAGCCAACCAACCAACCAACCAACCAACCAACCAAGTGCCATCAAACCATCCATTCATCCAACCAGCCGTCAAGCCATCCATTTGCATCCGCACGCCTCGTGCCTCGCCTGCGGCTCCGCTTCACATTTCTCCGGCAGCAGGGGCCCAACGGCCCCCACCAAACGCAAAGGCTGGCCCCGGCGCGAGGCCAGATTCACGCGCCTCGATGTGTTTTTTCATCACAGAAAGCCACCCATAAATCGTGTTTTTTCCAAATATATACGCATATGTATATATAAACACATAAACAAATATATATATATATATATTGCTGTTTCGGTTCTTGTGGCTCCCCCATTTAAACCATGCACAGAAAAGGGCCCCCTCAAAACAGAGCTCAGGTCGGTTCGGAGAAGCTTGTGGGACATCTGATCGCGGATGCCGATTCTGCGGCGACAGCTTGCTGGAGGCTGAAATCCGGGAAGTTCAGACATGGGCGCAAATGACTTGGGACTCATCTTGGCTGGAATTAGGACCCCAGCAAAAATAAATTTTGCCTGGATAGTGGAAAACAAAGGGAACCCCAAAACAGCAAAAAAACGAGAGTAATTCAGGTCAAGGGCTCAAGGGGATATATAGCCTAGCTGCAACATGGACAGCCCAAGTCCCTGCGTTCAACATGTTGCAGGGCTATGAGTCAGGATCATAGGTGTCCTTTTAGAGGAAATAGATGGGTTTCCCTGGTAGATGAGTAAACCACCAGGTCAACCAGGGAAATTTGTCTACCAAAACAACCAAAAAGGACACCTATGGTCCTATGGTCAGGACTCTTAGAACTTGGATCTTCAAAAGAGGTGCTTCTCACTTGCCGAGTGGATGGGCCAAAAAAAAGAGACACACATTTGGTCTACCACAAAAAAGGTCCCAAGCCCCAAACAGTGACGAAAGTCCGAAATCGAACTCAGGGAAGTCAGAATATGAATACCAATGATTTCCCTCTAAACTGGGCTGCCCGTTTTCAGATCCCCACCTAAAAGTTTTTACTTTTAGTGGGTTACATGGAAACTACCACTCAACAGCCAAAAGGCGAAGAGGGTATGGCGGCATGGCAAGGAGCCACCAAGCAAATACTTGGTTTCCCATTGCCTCACTCCCCGTGGTCCGAAACGGACCTCAGCGAGTGAGCCATTTAAGAGCTACGAGCTTTGGTATCCAGGTTAAATATTTGTCAAAATTCTGGCTCACCCTAGCCATGAAATGGTTGTGCAATCCCCATGAGTCTATATTTGTTTTTCTCGTATTTTGTTTTTTTCTACAGAAAACAAACTTAACATGTCGAGAAGTTCGGTGACGCCAGCTGCGCCTCATCTGCCGGAAGTCCACCTCCACCGGCACCCGCCCAGCTTGATACGTTGCCTTGGGGCCGCCGTCGGCGTTGGCGCGGCAGGAGGCGAGGGCGTCGCTGAGCTGCTGCGCCTCCTCGCGCGAGAGTTTGGAGAGTGGTTGGTTGGTTGGAAGGGGTGGGGGTGGGGTGGGTGGGGGTGGGGGTGGGGTGGGTGGGGTGGGGTGGTGAGGGGTTGGCTTCTGCTTCCCCCTGTTGGTCCTTTTATGTCCTTTTTTAGTAATTTGTTGGTACATGCTGCAGGGGTGGATCCACAAAAGCCACATCACAAACTGTTTTCTAGAATGGTTGGTTGGTTGGTTGGTTGCAAGGTTGGCTGGCTCGCTGGTTCCCCCTTCTCGTTGGCTCTAGAGGGAAACCAAAGGACGCAACAGAAGCCATTTGCTGGTTGGTTGGCCGACTGGTTGGATGGATGAATGGTTGGCTGGTTGGCTGGTTGGTTGGTTGGTTGGTTGGCTGGCTGGCTCATGGTGAGATCGCTGGGAAAATACGTAGGGAAAACTAAAATTGGCAGTTTGTTGGTTGGTTCATTGGTTGGTTGGTTGGTTGGTTGGTTGGTTGGTTGGTTGGTTGGATGGCTGGATGGATTCATGGAATCCCAGTTGTGCAGGGGCTGGTTGGAGAGGCCAAAGATGGCATGGGCCCCATGGTATTGGGGTGCCTCCTATCGAACATCTACCGCACCTGACACAACTCACTCCCTAGTGGATTGGCCAACAAAACAGAAACTTGATATTTACCGGTAACATGGTCTACCCAACAAGTCTAACGTCCAGGAACTCAGCAAGCGAGTCCAGCGCACCTCACACAAACCCACGCGGTCCTCTTCTGGCACGTCCACCCATCGTCGACGGGCGCTGCACAGAAGCTGCCATTGCTCAGGCATGGCACTAAAAATGGTGCAGCCATCCCAGTTGTCCAGCAACTCTAGTGGGAAAAGCAACCCTTTTTGGGGTGGTGTGATCCTTTTCATGGCTGCCACCAAACAAGAATGGACCAAAGGTGCCGCTAAACCACTTGGACTATAGCCCGCGCATCATGGCGCACCCCCTTGCCTGTTACATGGCAACGACGGGTGCAGAACTCCAGTTTTTCCACTGCATCTTGTCTGGGTCCGACATGACAAAAGCTTGGAACTCTGATTGCTGCCGGCGCCAAAGCCCAAAAATGCGATCGGTTTAACACGTCTGCTGTACACTTCCCTGTCACTGTGGCTGTGAAGTTCTTAAGGGGGGTTGGGGGTAAATCGGTAGCTCTTTAGTCGGCCGAATTCTCATCCCTCTTGCCTGCCCACTAAGCTCTGCGCAAATACTCGGTTCTTTCCATGTTTTTTTCCAAGCTCCCCTTTGGGGCAGCATAGCCGAATCCAGCCATCATTTCGCCCAAGCGGTCGTTGACCAGGGCTACTCGTATCCAGTTCCACCCCTCCTCCCCCCTTAGACGCTTTTGAGACCTCCATAATGCGGCAATGCTAGTGGGCATGGGCACGTAGGGCACTATAGAACCTTTCTGGCCGGCCAAGCAAAACGGCCAACACGCCAAACCTTGCCAGGTCCTCCAGTAGAGAGGTTGGAACAAGGGTACCGTTTCTTTTAGTAGGGGAACCCTCCCAACCAAAAAAGAAACGATAAAAAAGGGGGCACCTAGCTGGGGGACCTACTGTGGATGGACGAAATCCTGCACTACCTCAGAAATCCTGGAATGATTCGATCTCTCTTGTAAATACCAATAAACAATGGTTTCAACCATGGTTTCCAAGTGGTGCGACATGGACTTCGTCCATCCACAGTAAGGCACTAAAACCTTTCTGGGCGGCCAAGCCCCACCAAACCTTGCATCAACACTTCGCCCTCTCCTCCTCCAAGTCCTCACACTCCTGCGCGCGAGATATGTGACTTGGGCTTTGGTTTCTCCGCTGGCCGGGCAAACCAGCGCCAAAGTCACTGAGGTCATCTGGTTCCGTTTTCTTTTTTTTTGTGGGGGGGGAACTCCACCCACTTTGAAGCTGAAAAATTCCATTGCCCTGGGACCCCTCGAGCTCAGGCAACAATCTCTGGTATATCTGGCAAAACGTGGACCTATCGGATCTCCAAATCTGTCAGGGACATGGCGAACGTGCCATGCACCGTCTAACCCCACACCCCACTCAGCCACCCAGCAGGCACCTCTGAAGTGGAACTACCTGAGCCGCTCGCCTGGCACTCCGAAACAGAGATATCAGCAGGTATCAACTGCCAAGGCCTTGCGAGGGTACCCTGGATTGGTGGTTTTGATGGACAACAAAGAGAATACAACACAATGTGATTTTGTGTCCCCTTAAAACAAGATAGACCCATGCTCTGTGATTCCTTCCAAGAACCAGACGCCGTGCACTGCAAGTCAGTGAAATGGCAGCTGGCCTCGCTCTCCCCGTCAGACGTGCTGGTAGCGCCTGCGATGCGAGCCAACATGCCGACATGCCAACATGCCTGGCCTGCTTGCCGTTGCGACACCTGCTAGGTCCTCCAGTTTTGGAGGTTGGAATAAGGGGACTGTTTCTTCTTCTTTTTTGTGTGGTCTATTCTAGTAGGGGAAACCCTCCCAGCCAAGGGGTGAGAAAGGGCACCTAGCTGGGGGGAACCTAGGCTGTTGAAGTCTTTGTGGCGGAGGGCTCCTCTAGCTTGCTCACGGACAACCCGAGGCAGCCGTTAGAAGCCGAAGAGGCGCCAAAACACTTGCGGCAAGGCGAGAAGATGAGCTCCCTATGCAACCTTCTGCACATGCCGCCGGCTTCTGAAGGAGGTCTGTCAACCCTACTTGCTCCACACCGCAATGTGAGCTGAAACCAAGCCCGGCCATCTTACACATGTTTGTTTTGCATATCGGCCCTGGTCACGCGACCAGACTTGCGGAGTTGTGCAAGCAGAAAGCGACCACCAGCTGGCTCACGTTATTTGAGCAAACTGGTTGAAGCGACTGGAAGGCGCCGTCTCTTTTGCCCGCGCCGCTTAGGTCCCAAAGCTCAGGCCGGCGGCGTGAGGGCCAGGCCAGGCCTTGGCAGAACAATCGGGCCTTAAGGGTATCAACGCCGAAAGCCGTCGGCAAAGAAGTCTGACACAAAAGAAAGCCTGCGGATCTGCGCATACCGATGCAAATGCGAGAGGTGAGAAATGCCTCCCCCAGGAATCATTGCAATATATTGTAATGGACTTTAAGGATCCTTCTAACCAGGTGGATGGCCATGCCTCTTTACCCAAGGAAAGGGGTCTTTTGACCATGTCTCCAGATGCAGCCCTCTGGTCTCCGGGCCAATGCCGGAGAAAACAAATGTGAACATGCTAGAGCTCCGCATGCACTCAGCTGAACAACTGCTCCTGTCACCAGTGCCAACGCCACACTTGAGAACACCTGAAGAATGCTGAGTTCGGCTACAACAAGAATACTTGCTGCGAAGAGGGGTACATCATGAAGGCCTAAGAAAAGCATAGCAAAACCCTGGCTTACGGTATTGTCTTGGTATTGTCTTGGTGTTGTCTTGACTCATCTCACGAGCTATGTGAAGCGCACGCGAACACAAACACAACCAGTACCAGATACACAATTACACAAACACACGAGCATCCAATCACACAAGCACACACGCAACTACACACATACAAGCATCCAATCCCACAAGCACACACACACGAGTACACACACACACAAGCATCCAATCCCACAAGCACACAGCTACACACACACATACGCGCACCCGAGAACCAGGCCCCGAAGTCCGTGAACCAGAGGCCTTCCCTCGAAAAACGTCCAACTGCCGGGGCGCCTGAACCTCGAGCCCCATGTTGGGCAGGGCGCGGCATGCCAGGCTTCCTCCTTGGCAGGAAAGTTGAGAAACCCATCGATGAAACAAGCTGCCGACTGATCTCGCCCTTCAGGAACACAACCCCACCTAGGCCCACCTGTGCTTTTGGACGAACTTCGCCGGTCGCGACGGACTGGGGGGAACAAAGGTTCGAACCCATGCCAAAGGAGTTTCCGGAACCAGCCTGCTTCAAAAACAGCCATGGCGCAATGCACTCCCAAGTCAAAGCAAGTTCTTATGGTAGTTTCCAAGGGCGGGCAGGAAGGGGCATAGTCAATACTGTTGCTTCCAATTGCCAGTGATTGTGGCCAACACGTTGAGGTGCTGTTTCCTCGTGACCTGTGCCGTTTGGTGCAACATACTTTCTGCGCACAAATCAGGAAGTGCTCACAGCTGACCTTGCAAAAGCGGCCTAACTCCCAACTTTATTTGCAATTTCTGGCCATTGCGACCAGCACACAATTTCAACAAACCACCAGCTAGCGGCGCGATTCTTGCTGCAAACCATCAAGCCCTTTTTACCTGGATCCGGCAATCTCAATGCCGCCGCGCCGCTCAGGGTTCATACTGTTTAAACGCATGATCCGCCAAGCGAGGCCGTTAAAGGTCTTCATCCTTGGCAAGTTGTAGCGCCGCGCGTAGAGCCGCATGGCTGCGAAGAGCTCCTCTCGAGACTCAGATCTCGGCAGGCCGGCGCGCTTCAGAATGCCCTTTATGCTCGGCGTTGATCTGGGTCCGATCTTCCAGCGGCCGTCTGTGTCATTGGAAAGAAACGCCTTCTGCAGAAGGCCGCTGACCTCCGGGGCGAAAGCCCCATCTCTAGGCAGCAACTTGAGCTTGCGCAGCTTCATCTTGTTGTTGGCGGAATTGATAAAGCAAAACATGGCCTCGGACAAATCCGCGTTCAGCTCATCATCTAGGTACCCCAGCTTTGTAAGAACCTCTGAAACTAGGCTGGCAGAATTGCCAAGCATAAATGGGCCTCCACCTTGAAAAATGCAGCGGGCCAGTCTGGAACCATATATTTCAACATCTCTTTCCCGGCCGCCGGGGCTGCCAATTGGAAGGATGAAGGCAAGCTGGTCGTCGAAGGAGTCCCACTGCTGCCAGCTTGAGGATCTAATTGAGGCAGCAATAGTCGCCATTGCAATATACGCGGGCCAAACTGTCAGTGTGCCCAGGGAATTGCCAAACCAAGTTTTCACGACTTGCTGAACCCAGTGGGTGTCCTTGCCACCTTTGGAGCCCCGATCCTCAAGAACAGCCAGAACATCACTTACAAGGCTCGCATCATATGACTCCTTCACATATGGCTCAGCCAATGTGACACTTCCACTTCCGTCGTCATGAAGTAGTGCTCTGACTGTTGGGCTTGTTTTCGTAGAAGGCAGTATGTGCACATGCTGCTTGTTTGCCTTATAAAACTCAACTGTTGAATGGTAACTATCAGGAATGAAGAGTTTGGTGCAAGTCCCACGAGCAATGCACTCCTGCAATGGGGGCAGAAAGCCTTTATCGCTCGTGAGCAAGGCAATGCTGTCAACATCCTTGGCACGCATCAGTGCCCCAATTGTGGCGTGAATTGCTTCGTCAGTGGCCTCTCCTCTCTTATCCCTCAACCGCAAGGCAGGTCGAAACGCAACGTTCAGCTTCCGCAAAAACTCCTGACATTCTGTGCTCTTGCTCCTGTATTTTGGGGGTCCAAAGACGGTCACCTGCACTGTGTGCCCTTCCTTCTCCAGAAGCTCCAGCGCTCGCTGCATGTCGGCGACTGCGTGGCTGTCTCCATCCACCAGCAACTCTGCGCGGGCGCTTACAGTGACCCGTGTGCTTCGTGTGCGCCGCGACACGCGCGATATGGCCGCAACTGCGCCAGCCAAAGCCGCCAGCACACGCGGGCAACTCGCCGCCGGCGAGGTACGGCAAAAGGCGATGCCAAAATTAGTACCATGGCCTGGCCGCAGGGCCGAAGGCGCCTGGGCGACGAGCATCACAATATTTGGCCAACTTAGCTGTCACCTACAATACTGCAGTGCAGCCCTTTTGGATGATAGCACCCCGCGATTTTAGGGTCGGTAACTTTAAGTTCGTTGTTACTGCATCTGCCAGCTTTGTTGCTCTGATTGTTGGCCCAAATCTGACTTGTTTTTTTGTTTTGGCGTTTTGCTACCATTGTCACAACCACAAACTATGATTAAAGGGAAAGCAGCCCAGATTCTCACTTTGATAACCTGCAATCTGAATAAGCCCGGCTTGTGTGCGGTTCCTATACAAGTCATAGGCTTCAACTCCGTTTCCGGCTCCGCATCGAAGCTTGAGGGCGACGCGGGCTCAACCGAAACCAAGCCCAAGTCAATGGCAAATCTCAGAATCCACTTGTTGTCTCTTGTGGGTAGATGTGGTAGATGTTGCCGCGCATGAGTTAGGCAAAGAAGCATGCACACAAAGCAGCCTGCGCTGACCCTTGGCTACGAGTAAGCCAAGAGCTGTTTTGGAGGGCAACCTCTTCCCCCATCAAACTTGGGGCTTCAACTGCGGGCCAAGTGCCGCTTGCATGGGCATGGACACAGGGCACAGTGACAAAGGCACCGCCGACTGAACCAAGAGCTCAGAAATCGCTAAGCAGTGAGGCAATCGGCCGAGCTTGAGCCCCGGCCCTTTTCGGGGTTTCAAAGTGAAAGCAGTGGTACCCTTGTTTTTTTTGGTTTTTTGTTTTTTTTGGGGGGGACGAACCTTGCGAAGCTGTTGGGGTTGTTTTGCAGCGCGCCCAGATTCCCAAACCGCCCGGTCCGAAATGGCTGCCAGGCCACGAAGCAGCCAGGCAGCGCAAAGTCTCTGCCATAGCCCAACTCAGCGCCAGCCCTGGCGCCGGCCCGACTCCGAGCCGTGGAGATGCAGATCCCCCACTAAAAGTTTAACTTTTAGTGGGTTAAATGGAAACTAGCACTAAACACTAAAAAGCCAAAAGGCTAAGGTGATGGCTGGGAGCCACCAAGATATTTCCACCCAGAAATCGAGTTGTGGAGACTTGAGGCTGGGCCGACGTAACACTCTGCTCTTCCCTTTGTATGCCGGGGTCTGGGTGGTTCAACGCATCCTGAACCACTCGCCATACAAAAGGTGCCTTTTTGAGGCCCCATTTTGTGGTTCAACAGGAAGCCCGAAGGCAAGCCGGCATTTTAGTTGGGCGTCTGCGTGGTCTCAGCGCCTTGGTCCCTATGAAGTGTGAGGCCCCCCCATCACGTGTGCCCATGTGCGAGTAAAGCTTATAGGGGATCTACAAGATGTGGACCATTGTAGTGTCCCCGCTCGCCGATCTCAATTGCAATCAACCTTGTAAGGCCCAGACATAATTAATCACAACATGGATTGGCTTTAGTTGCAAGTTGTAACAAATGGAAAGCCAATACACAATCAACCACTCCTGAGGTGTGCCATGTTGGAGGCAGATCCACCTGAACAAATCCTCGATGGATACGTCCTCCCAGATCGCTGCCGTTGACAAACATTCCCTGAAACATCAACGAATACTTTGACCTCAATGTGGATGTTTCCTCAGCGAAAGTGCGGTCATTCCGCATGGCACCAAATGGGCGTGGAAAGGGCATTGGTCAAACAGCTTCATTGTTTCGCAAGTCGAAGCTGTGGTGTGTTGAGGCAGCCGACGTCTCACGAGAACACCACATGTGTGATGGGCGAATGTCGGCAGAATGCCTTGCTTGCGTGGGCGTTGCAAAGCCTACATGTCCCTCCAGGCCCATCAGTTTGTCACGGATAGTAAAACAGCACATTGACCTGTGCTGAGGGCGGACAACAAGGCCAACGTTGCGGCGCTCGTGCGCGTCCATTCAGCAACGAAAGCCACCCATTCTTCCCAGCAACACGTGTCACGATCCATTTGCAGGGAGCAGCCAACCAGCGCCGTTCCCCCTGTCTCGCTCACGCCTAAGCAGCGGCAAGGGGCAGCACGAAGTCCGCACGGCATGGCGGTTTGCGGAGGCTGCCTTTGGAAAGTGCTATCTCACTGAAGCCGAACATGGACCAAACTACTGAAAGGTTCTGGTCGATTCGCTTTGTTGCTATTGTTACTACCCTGCAGGCTAACATGTTGGGGGGGCTACCTATGAAGTGTTGGGGGGGGGGGGGCTACTTATCGGGATTGCAGGGGTGCCCACCAGAACACAGCCCCTACAAGCTGCAAACAAGCCTCCCTGCAACGAAAACACAAGTATGTGTATGTTATGTTGGCATATCGTCTTGAAAGATCTGAGTGCTGCGATAACAAATCCACGGCTAGGCTGCCGCATGGCCCGTTCGTCAGCTCACTGGGCTTCGGGAAGAAAGTCAGAGCGTTACGATTTTAAGAGCAGGTGTTGCTATGGCACTCAACTTGGTTTTGTCCGAGTCGGGAGCCACGGGCCGGGAATCAAGTTGCCAGACAAGAAACACATCAAGCGGAAGCATGCTATCCAACAACGTCCAGGACAGAAGCTATGACCAGCTGGGTCTGGTGAGCCACAAATGGCTTGCCAAGTCTAAAAAAACGTAGGCAAGTTTCGGGGTCCCACATGCCTTCCTTCCCCCCCCAACCAGAAAAACAAGACCATAGACTGCTGGATGGGTTGACTAACCTTAGGTCAACAAGTTGCAAATCTTTCGCCCAGTGTCCAGCCCAATCCTCAAAGGCATAAAGCCCCGACCCTGCGCTTGGAACTGACCCGACGCGAAAAACACCTTGGTGCAACAGAACGCCAAGCTACAAGCAAGAACTCATCTGGCAAATTCAAATGGGTGCTGTTGTGACCCCTCTGCACATTTTTCTGTTGTGTCCAATAGAAACTCCACGGTTTCCCAAGAAGTTGAAGTCCAAAGTTCCAACCAAAGAGCCACAACGCTGTCAGTGCCCTTGAAAAATTTGGTTCACATCCTGAACTCGAGCAAGAGGGGAATGTCCAAGATTGACACGCATGTCGCTCCTTCAAGTGTTGCTCGGTTGCCAAAAGGACCCAGAAGCAAAAAAGGTTCACCTTGTGGGACCATTACCAAAATTGGATCAAAATGGGAACACCAAGTTTCAAAGGTTACATCCTTGCAACTTGCTGGCCCATCTCTCGTGACATCCAAGAGCGTGTCTCAAGCAGTCTCAAAAAAAGGCTCAGGTACCGTTGGAGGATTCTGCTTGAGGGCTTGCAATTGGTCAGATTGTTCTCCCGCGATGCCTTAGGAACTGGGACTGCTAGGTGGTAACTGGTCAAAGTGCCAAAGTGCCTTTTGGGCAAAACCATGGCCAACTATGCCTTACGGGACTGCTAGGTGGTAACTGGTCAAAGTGCCAAAGTGCCCTTTGAGTAAACATAGCCACCGCGCACCTCGGCTGCGGCTCCGGCTACTGCCTGGGAATGCCGGAATGATGGCAATGGCTGGAAAACGCCGTGCCCTTCAGATGGGAAGTGCGCTATCGGTGTGGCCTGAAGGAGGGCTCCGGTTGCTTGCCTCTTCCAGCACTGCCATTCCATGCGAGCAAGCATACATGTAGGACAGGCTGTCCAATACTAAGACCCCTAAGCCCGAGCACAAGCCCGCCAAACGGAACTTGCGAGTCCCTGAGTTGCCAACTTGCGCAACCCCCTGGCTGCGTCTACGTTCAACCCGGTCTTGGCCAAAAAAAGGCATCAGCACCCTCCCACCTAACATGGAACACACCAAACTTGTCTTCCAAGATCCGCAGGTTCCATGGCTGGTTGGGAATCAGGGCCATGTGGGCGAAGCTCAGACCCAGACTGCGCGCTCGGCCCAGCATCTTCCTTAGGACAATGGCCGGTTCTCAAACGGGCGCTCACAGGGCAAATGTTTCCACCTGCAGCTTCAAACGACTAGAAAAAAGTAGGTGTTTTGGTCATTGTATTGCTTTTGCCTGTTTCGTATCGTTTTTACCGCAAAACGACTAAGACGCCTAGAAATTTGAATTATTGGGTGTTTCCTTCTTGCACAGGGCGTTCTCTCTCATTCAGCTTGATATTGCCCACTACACCAGATGTTCGAATCTTCAGAAACTTCTAAGTACTTCGAATCCTTCCCTCCATCAACACCCTTCAATCCTAGCTGTGCGGGGGAGTGGTGCGCAAATCGGAGCAAGTTTAGTCTAAGCATGCTTCGAGTGAGAAACACACTCTGTTCGTACCACTTTTGGCCGCAAAACGAGCGCAAAAACCCGCAAAACGCACGCAAAAACGAGCGCAAATCCCAAAAAGTTGGTCAATTGGGGTTGTTTCATGCACTGCCCGCTCAAAAGCATGCCCTGATTGGGCACCGATGTAGGGTCATGCTTGCAACGGGAAATGCAAGCACCGAGAAAGGAAACTATATTGATATGAGGTCAGATCTTGTTGGCTCAAATATCCTCCCAAACGGCCAGCAGCACGTTAGACGCCGGCCTTCGTACTAGTTTTCCAGCGGTTCGTACTAGAACCCCCAGTTTTCCTCCAATCGTGCCCATTACCCAAAACGCCCAGAAATTTCTGGGTGTTTGAATCTCCAGGCAGGGATAAGTTTTGGAGGTGTGGAGGGTACACACCACGTCTCTCTCTCTCTCTCTGTCTGTCTGTCTGTCTCTCTCTCTCTCTCTCTCTCTATCTGTCCCTCTCTGTCTCTCTCTCTCTCTCTCTATCATCTGACTCCGTTTGCAGCGGCACGCCTTTTTGCCGAAAATCTTGCATTCGTGGGCTGTGCTTGCGAAAGTTCTGTGCCTGTCAGCGCGCGTCCGTGACAAGGGTCCCAGCTCCTTGCCCGCTTCGCGCGCGTCGCGACCGAGGTGGCATGCCGTGAACGCCGAACGCCTTCACAGGGCAACGTGTTCAGGCCGCTTCTGTTTCACAGGTCGCGTTTCTTCGAGCAGTCTATTTTTAAAGGTCACGCGCAGGCGCATACATGTTTAGAGCGGGGTAGCGAATTTAGTTCCGGTGCTCGGAACTTCTTGTTGAGCTTCGTTTGACAAGGGGTATATGCCGCGTTACAAGCTTACATTGTTGGTATCAACATCCAAATGCCCTTGCCAAAGTGTTGCCATTGTCAACAATCCGGGAACTGACATCCAGCTGATTGGCTGCGCCTCCTGTCCAGAGCTGGCCAGAAAGTTGGGCTATGGGCAAATGTACATGGGGCTACCAACCGGGCTGACGGGCCACAAGGCATGGCAGGGCAAAGGCTTCCTTCACTTTGGCTGAAAACCTAAACCTCCATATTTCTCAGGTCAGCTTGCGTAGGTGGGTGGGTGGGTGGACATTCCTCGCATCCCGACACGCTTCTTTCGCAAGAGTGTCTTGCCTTTGAGCCATTGGGCGCGCGTACTGCCTGCCCTGAGGTTCCAGGACGCCTCCCCTGAGCCACCCGGCTGCAGGCGCAGCAGCAGCGGGGCCTCGCGGAGGGAAGGTTAAAAGGCGCGCCAAGACTGTCACTCTTATTTGGGTATGGGTCAGAATTAAACCACCAGGGGACCGCAGGTTTTGGTCCATGTTTCCACTTACCAGGGTTCCAAAAAAGGGTACATATTTTTGACCCACAGCCATTTGCTGTCCCCAGGAAGTTCCTGTAGAAATTCCTATGTCTGGTGTCTATGACCCATAGAAATGGGGCACTCGTTTTTAAGGGGCGCGCACGCACAAAGAAGAAAACATGAAGCAACCCACCGGGAACTTTTTTCCTTGCAGGCAAGGCCCTAACAGGCCCACACATCAGGCCTCGATGAACCGGTGTGGAAGTATGTGCTACGTACAATCTGCAAAACTGGCATGTAGGCACGCATACCTATGTCCTACAAATGCGCACATATACAGTTCAACAAGTACATGCAATTTTAAATGCATGCACATATGTAGATACAGATGCACACGAACACGTGTACATATATATATATATAGTACATACATATATATATATATATGTGTATGTATGTGTGTGTGCGGTGTACGTTTGTTTCTAGGCAAGTAGATACGGACAAATAGTTGTAGATACAAGTGGATGTATAGGCAAGCGTATCGCTGCCCATGCAATGCATATCTACCCACCTATACGTTGACATGTATATGTACCTATGTATATACATATAGATATATTTACCACATGAAGATACACAGTAGGTACGTATGTATGTATGTATGTATGTATGTATGTATGTATGTATGTATGTATGTATGTATGTATGTATGTATGTATGTATGTATGTATGTATGTATGTGTATGTACGTATGGTTTCCATGTATGCATGAATGTGTATTGTATGTGTATATGTATGGTGTTTGTGTGTGTGCATTTATGTATGTACTACTGCATGCATTGTGTGGTATACATGTTTGTTTGTATGTTCGTATGGTTGCATGTTTGCAGTGGTATGTTTGTGTCTTTGTGTGGGTGTATGTTTGTATGTGTGTATGTTTTTGTATGTGTGTATGTGTGTATGTTTGTATGGTTGTATGTTTATGTATGTATGTATGTATGTATGTTTATGTATGTATGTATGTATGTGTACGCATGTGTAAACACATACAATTACAGAAACCGATGCATATGTGTGTGCAAAACACATTCTTGCACAACCATCCCCTATCTAGACGACTCTTTCACAGCAAGCTTTCACTGGGTGTTCGCTGGCAGCGACTGCGCGACATGGAACGGTGTTTGCTCCAGAAACACCGCGGGGAATGCTAAAAGTTCAAAATGTGGGTCAAATGGAAAGCACGAAACCCTAAACACCTAACAACCTGAGGGGATGGGTGGGAACCACTGAGTTACTTAATATGGACCCCCAAACAAATATTTCTCAGGATCTCCTTTTGGGGGATCCGATCCTACTTTGGGTTTCCAGGTCCAACTTTTCCCGGGAGTAATTGTCGCTAGGCTGCTACTCCCATCACCATGGCCCCGCTTTGACGGCCCCTGAGCCGGGTAGAGCCTAATCTAAACTACAGCGGACCTCAAGCTTGAATCTCCCCCGCCCCCCCTCCACCACTCACTGCAACCGGAAACTCTAAAAAGGCTCATACTCGCAAACCACTAACCTAGGGGGTTATTGGGATATACAGCCACTATATTTCGGGTAACCCCACATTATCTTCAGTCTTTTCAAAAGGGGTCTACTTCTGCGTTTGCTCGGGCAAGTAGTGCTTAGGCTGTTGAAAAGTTAGGGCTGGCCAATCCTGATCCTCAACCCCTAGAAAGCCGCTACAAACCAAACCCCCCAAACCAAAAAAAAGGCTCGTACTCAACGGAAGGGATCTTGCGGACCTCTGAACAGCCCAGACCTTCTTCCCGCCTCTTGATCGAAGACCGAGGCCTGCGCCAGCTCTACAGCCTCAGCCGAGAGGGGCACTGCTCACGCGTGGATGATCCAATGGTCATGTGACCGAGCAACCAGTACAACACCGTGGAATTTTCTGGAACGAGACGAAACCGTGGGAATGAAACCATAAGGTTTGTTGGTGAGTTATCTTCCAGGAGGTTTGTTGGATCCATAACGGTTTGCTGGTGAGTTATCGTTTTAGGGGTTCTTACGTGGTGCAGGATTTCGCCCGTCCACAGTAGCATGCCCAAGGGGAAACCTACACAATTTGCGGGCCCATGCAAGTTTGCCACAAATTGGCAATCGGAGGACGTGCGCAACAACAAAGACAACAAAGCCTCGGTGAAAACAGCGGCCTCTTGCTTCAGCGTCGCAACACGCTTCAGCCCTTTGGTAAGAATATTTAAGATGCTATAAGGCCGACGAACGCCAAGCCTGGCTGCCTACTTAGGTCAAAAAGCTGCCGGGCCGAAGCGCAGCTCGTGACCCATGGTCGGCTTCCATGTCTCAGGGGAGCTTCTTGGGCAAAGGCCATTCCCTCATGCATGGCGAGGCTGCTTCATCAGCTACAGTTGGTGCAGCCTGACCCGATGCATGACATGCAATGCAGCACGTGCAACTGCATCCTCAGGAAAAGGATTGCTTACACACGCAACAGCGTAATTGACTAACACATCAGAAGCCAAAACTTCCTTGCCTATAGCTTTCATCATGGGTTGCCGTCGGCAGCACCCATACCAAACCACTGGTTCTTTGGTTGCGATATGTTGCGATTGGCTGCACCAAGATGCGCCTGCCTAGGGGCAAAACAGGGGCGGTCCAGCAACAGTTGGCCAAAATGCACTGGACACTTTCCGGAAAACGACTTCAACCTTGCTGGGGGTGCACCTGGGTGAAACCTGCCCAACACGTTTACAGCATCCAGCTGACCACACCCTACCGACTCTCCTTTCAAATTGCTGCGCTTGTTGCCCACTATCTGCGAACATGTCCAAGTGACTCTCTCACTGATTAGCGTGGCAGCGTGGCAAACCAATACACCTCACGCATTGCGGTTTATCTCTTCGTCACCGCTGCCCCACGGACAAATAGGGGGGCCTGGGTAAAATTCCACAAGGCGACCGCAAATTTTAGTCATTGTTTCCATTTGCCAGGGCTCCATTTGGGATACCTATTTGCAACCCACACCCACATGCTGTGCGATTCGACCACGGCATGGGAAAACCGCCACCCGAAGATTCACCTTAGCCCACGACCAGCCCCAGCTGCTTCTGCTCTTCAACCTCGCGCCCCGACGCATCTCATGCACTGCAGGCTGCCCCAGATTCCCCCCAACTGAGATGTTCATGAGGGCTATACACCAGCGCCCGTGCGCCCACAGACGGAACCATGGAACAAGTGTAGGAACATGTAGGAACATTTTTAGAAAAAGAACGGTCCTCTGTCTAGATGTGGATCTCCTCACTGTACAAGGGAGGCCCCGAGTATCCTGGAGTGTTACAAAGCTTGAGGAACTTTGTTCAGATTCAAGTCCAAGATTCTTCAGGTATGAACTCTTATTCTCGTTCCAGCCACTACTAAACAAAACAACGGATAAGAATGTAAACAATCGAAAGTGTAGTCAGTTCTGCTGGCTGCTCACTTTTGACCATGCCTTCTCGTATGGCATCGTGCAGGGGGCAATTCAGGTGCGCCCGTGCCTCTAAAAAGCGATTCATTGCTTTGGTTCTATAGGGAAAATGGGGCTTCTAGCCCGCTGTCCACCAAAACAGAGCTAAACCACCAAGCTTTAAGCCTCAGTTGTTCAGTGACCCTGGAAAAAAAAGGGAACCCTTTTTTGGGAAGACCATTTTAGTGGGGCAGCCACCCCCCCCCCCCAAAAAAAAAGGAAAAGGGAGCCACTGAACCACCGAGAAGCTCAAAGGTGTCCGTCGGTCTCCGGGAATTCTGGGCTTCAACTCTTTGGGTTCCAGCCTGACGCTCCTTGCGCTTTTTCTCCCGCGAGGAGCGAAGCGGAAACCGCCTTCGCCGCTTTTCCGGCCGGGCGATCTCTTCTCTCAGGCGAGCGCCTGGCTGTGCTTGTCGAAACGGTTTTTTTGGGATTCCGTGGGATGAATGAATTCACCGCCCATGTTCGAGCCCATTTTGGTGGCTTGATTGGTTGATGTTCACTGGGGGATCACCGAAATTTGGATTTTGAGAAGCCCCATGGCTTTTTCATCACCTCTTGCCGATCCGCGTCAGCCGATCAGCAGATATAAGCCGATCAGGCGTTGCAGGAGGGGAAGTAGGGCGTCATGGACATGAACCCAGCGTCATCCAGTTCTTTGGCACGGCGCCGCAGGATCTCCACGTCCTTCGAGGCTCGAAGGACGGGGTTTCCCGAGGTTTTCCGGGTGTGGCCACGGACGTACAGGCAAAGACCTGAATGGCTGTGCTTGTTCAATTGTTTGATTGTTTGTTTGATTGCTTGCTTGTTTGTTTGTGTATTCGTCTGTGTGTTGTTTTGCTGCATTGTTTGATTCTGTGTTCGTCTGTCTGTCTGTGTGTTTGTCTGTCTGCCGTTGTTTTTTTTGTGTGTGCTTCTGTGCTTCTGTGCTTCTGTGCTTCTGTGCTTCTGTGCTTCTGTGCTTCTGTGTGTGTGTGTGTGTGTGTGTGTGTGTGTGTGTGTGTGTGTGTGTGTGTGTGTGTGTGTGTGTGTGTGTGTGTGTGTGTGTGTGTGTGTGTGTGTGTGTGTGTGTGTGTGTGTGTGTGTGTGTGTGTGTGTGTGTGTGTGTGTGTGTGTGTGTGTGTGTGTGTGTGTGTGTGTGTGTGTGTGTGTGTGTGTGTGTGTGTGTGTTTATGTGTCTGCTTGTGCTTTTGGAGGTGCCCCAGCGCATTGCTTTTTGCAACGGGAACGCAAAAGGCAACACCATCTTGGCTGGCCACTTCTTCACTCGCAGCGAAAGACCAAAGGACCAGCAAGTGAAACAAGCTCCTTAGAAAACTGGGACTATGACAATGTGCAAACAGTGAAAAGCCAAAGAGTACAATGAGCCACGGTGATAAAACAAAATCTACCTAGGCCATGTCTATCACCCATAAAACTACGCCTTGGGCCCATTTGCCGTATTTCCCCGGCCTAAAACCGCCCCCAATCCGCCCCCAATCCGCCCCCAATCCGCCCCCAATCCGCCCCCATCCCAATCCGCGCGAAACCCGCCGGCCCGCCCGCGGCGCTTCCTCCTCGGAGAGCTCCTCCGCGAGCCACTGCTGGTCGCTGGCGTAGCCGCGCACCCGGCGCCGGGCCACGTCCGGGAAGGCCAGGCAGTGCTGGGAGAAGTTCACCCCCGGCATCGTGGCCTACGGCTCGGTCATGATGCTTCGGCGGCTTTTTTTTGTTGTTGTTGCTTGTAGCCGCTTTTTAAGGCTGTAAAGAGAACCAAAGAGAAATGTTGCTTGGCCGTTCTTAAGGCTCTAAAAGAGAACCAATGAGAAATCCACCCTTTTTTCCCCCGAGGGTGCCCGTTTTTAAGGCTCATCTTGGAGGACCAAACGGACATCCACATGGGGTAACATGAACCGAAGCTGAAAAGTTAACCCACACATGCCAATAATAAAGCCAAAGCGTACTGCATTCACAAACTGGCTAAAACAAGAACATGATGCAAACCCAACACACACAGATATAATTGTTTGGGAATGCGTTTTAAAGTGAAGGAATCCCTTTGAAGCGAGACACTTTGGACAAAATCAACCGGTTGATGAACCTTTGGTTCATCCACTGCGCCCCAAATCTTGGCGTGCCCTGCTCAGCTGGCATTTAAAGGACACTGTTCCCACGCAATCTCAAATAATGATTCAGGGCCATAGCAAGGGGAGCCGTGGCAATCAAATAGTGACTCCTTGTGACCATTGGGGGCCGATTAACTTGGCTGCTGTCCTCCGCGAAAAGTTCAACTTTCTGTGGGGCCAATGTGCAAGCCCCACCTGTTTCCCAACAAGCTAAAGTCTGTAAGACAAGGGTCGCTTTCTTCCTATCCCCTTGCGAGTTGCCTCCTTAAACCATCTGGTAAGTCCTCGGATCAAGTTGCCCAGTTTGGACCCAGAAACTCCAGGCTAACCTTTGGAGCAATCACTAACTGTTGGCCAAAAAAAAGGAAACCAACAGGTCATATCAGGTCCATTCGCGCTTCAAGTGAGTCTGGGATTTCGGATTTTGTTGCTGGTGCGATAGGCAGGGTCCCTGAGAAAATGACCCCCATTGACCATCCAACTGCTGGCTTCCTTTAATCGAGGGAATCCCAAAAACGGATTCCAGGGAATGAGGGAGTGATCCCCATAGATGCCTCGTGGCTTCCTTCCTGGGAATCCCGAAACGGTTCATTCAACCAACCCCCGGACTCCTTGTCATTCCCTATCGCACCAGCAAGTCATGCCGGTTTTTGTGTGGTTGACAGGGGTTCATTCAGCCGCATCTTCCCATGTTTTTTTCGCAGATCGCAAGTTTCCAAGGCTAGGTCCTCCGGTCAGAATCAGGGCTACCCCCTTTTTCTGTCTATTTTAGTAGGGGAACCCTCCCCAAAAAAGCTGGGAGAGAAGGGCGCCGGGGGACTTTTTTCAAGGCCTCGCCTTCAAGGGAAAATTCTTTCGGTTCATGCCACATCCCCTGGCCGCATGGGGGTTCAGTGGTTTCCTTTCTTCGGGAATCCCGAACGGTTCATGCCACATCCCCTTCCCGACTTTTTCGAGCAGCGATCGCAAATGTTCAATTAGGTCCTCCAGATTTGAGAGTACCCCTTTTTCTGTTGTCTATTTGTATGGGAACCCTCCCAACCAAAAAAGAAACGGTAAAAAAGCACACCTGGAGGTACCTCAGCTCATCCAGCCACATTTTCTGGCGATGTCGCGTCGCAGCTTCGCCAGTGTCGCGTCTCGCCTTCAAGGTCTCCAAGGGCCGCCTGGGGCAGGGCACCGCCAGGTGCCCTGCCCGGCACCGCCCCAGCGGCAGAATGGCGCGCCGCGCGAGGCGCCCGAAGTTCGCCTTCAGCGTGCCACGGTTCCGGGGCACCCAGCCTGCACCGAAGCATTGGGAAAAACGCGGGTGAGGGGTTAGGGGGTTAGGGGGGTTAGGGGGGTTAGGGGGGTTAGGGGGGGTTAGGGGGGTTAGGGGGGTGGACGTGGGTGACGCTGCCCGTTGTTTTGCGGATCCCCTTCCTTGCCCCCAGTAAATAGGACCTTTTTGGGGATCCTGGACCTGTTTTGGGGGGCACCCAGCCTGCACCGAAGGAGCGAAGGATCATAGAAAAGGTCTCCAGGATATTCTCCAGCGTTTTGGGAGGTTGTGTTTGGAATCTAGCTTGAGCTTGTTTAAGGAAAAATTAAGCCTGTTTAGGGGGCATGTAAGCCTTTTTGGGGATCCCTGGCCCCCAGTAAATAAGAACGCTTGACCCAACTTGGATGACAATCATTGAATCATAGGTGGCCTTTTGGAAAAATAGATGGGTGTCCCTGGTAAATGGACGAAACCCCATCTAAACCAGTGCCATCTATCTTTGATCAAACTAACTTATAAAAGCACCTATGAGTCATCCCATTGGTTCAACCAACGACCGATTCCCATGAAATGAATGGCCTTGGGACCCTTTTGATCTGGATGATGACAGTCCTGAACAGCACACAATGGATTCTATTACCTCAACCGCAAGTGGCGCCCGCCCAAAAAAGTCACACCCTCTTTTTGTTGGGCCTGTCTAGCAGGCATGGTCCGAGTTGCCGTGGAAAGTTGAATTGATCGGTTGGGTGTTTGCAGGCTGCTAGTTGGAGTTGTCTTTGCGATACTGTCGAGGCTAAACTTTTCGGGAACCCACAGGAAACCAATGCTTCTTTTTTCCAACACATGAAACAATTTTCATTTGGCCAACGCAAGCCAAGCTTCCTTTTGAGGCCCTGTGGCAAATGGGGAGAAACATGGGAAAGCTTCCAGGGTCCACTTGGGACATTTTGAACTCCGAAGTGGACATCGGGAGTCTCAGTCCCCCCCCCCCCGGGGTGTGGCTGAAACCTAAAATCAGCGGTTCCGCAGGTGTGGGTCTTCGTCTCCAAGGGGCCTAAAAAATAGTACCACTTTTTTGAGCCACCAGTTGTTTCTAGGGGTACCTTCCATTTTCATTCTTTCCAGGCATCCTTCTTTCCAGGAAACCATCCAAAAACGCAGGGAGAACAGCCGGTGTTTGAAAAGAACGATGGTTGAAAAGAATGGAAAAGGAATCAACCCCCAGATTTTTTTTTCTCGGGAAATCCC